AATGGGGGACCCACCCCTATATTTTGTACTGAGCGCGGTGCACGGCAGGCTGTGGGAGAGCGGGGAGTTGCCCGCGCTGTACAGAGCCCTGAAGTCGAGGGCAGGATCCTGTCCCTCCATCACTGGGATCAGGGTGTGACTTGCAGTCAGCAGAGGCAGGCTTCCCTCTTCGTTCCTCTGGCACAGCGAGAGCTGGAAAGGGAAGTGCTGTGGTGGTGGTGCGGCCACAGCATCCCCATCCTGCGTGGGGCTGCAGCTGCCCAGGGGGGCTGCTGGGGCAGGGGGTTGGATGCACATCGTGTTGCGTTGCCATGGGTACGTGATGCAGAGAAGGCTGCGGTCTGGCCCTGCTGATTTCAAGCCTTGTAAACCCGAGTTCAGCTCCCAAAAAATTATGACCATCTTAAGCAATCATGAGAATTTAAAATCCAAGTTTGAGGAAGAGAAGCGAGTTCTCAGCAGTTGCCTCCCAATGCTTTACACTTCTCAGTCTGCCCTGCGCAAGCTTTCCTCTCGGCCGCTGTGTCTGGGGTTGCGAGGCTGGCTCTTAGGAAAGAAAAAACTAAACATCTCAAGACTTTCAGGAAACTGAGACCCTTCTCCATGTTCCCACCCCCCCAACGTTAGCACAAAATGCAAGAAGGGGAATTTCTGAGTGCAGAGCTCAAAGAAAAGGCCTGAGCTCATGTAAGGATTTGGGGTGCCCTGCAGCTCTCCCCAGCTCCTCTCCTGCACCCCACAGCCTGCAGGACATGGGCTGGGGCTGGGAGCACCGCTCCTGCCCTGGCCCAAGGGACAGATCCTGGCGGCTGCACACAGACTCTCCGTATCTCACAGGCACGATGAGAACTGCTGCTATGTATCCTATGATTATATATGTTGTGATATATGTCAGCAAACACACAGGAGGGGCTGGGTGCCGTATAAGCAGAGCACTGAAATTCTGTAATTAGGAGTGATATCCCATTGCTCCCTCCACCCTTTTTTCCTTTCCTTTTGCTTTTCAAAACAGGTCCCCAGTCACCTGAGCAGCAATCCTGACCTCAGCTCTGCCACTTGCCACAGCCTGGAAGCCAGGGCAGGGAGCAGAGAGGGCAGAGCCCGGCAGGGAGGAGCGCACGGTCAGAGCTCTCCCATTACCACCCCAATTCTGCACTTGGGTTTTGCTTCGTTAGCTGCAATCAGTCTGTTAACGAGGTCATGGCAGCTTGTGCAAATACCAGGCCGCCTTCCAAAGGCTGCTGTCACTTATTCCGGCGCTGGAGTCTCGGCTCCTTGTGTTGGAGCCCCAGCTCCCTGCATCACCCAAGCCGTGCCCGGAGGTGCAGGGATCTGCACTGGCACCCCTGCCCATCGCAAGGGAGGGGTGAGGATTGCTCCGTCCTCGCTAGCAGGCGGGTTCCGGCCCTACGGACAATTGCTCACAAGCCAGAAGGTTTGATGCCAAAGGCCCGAGGCACGTCTTGTGCTGCCGTTTTCTCCTCCGCTCCCCCGAGCTGATGCCCTCCTGCCAGCCACCACGTTTCAGATGCCGCAGCTCAGTTGCCCCGCCTCAGCCAGCCGTCCCGGAGGCAGCTGTGGTGCCTCTGTCAGCAACGGCTTGAGAGCAGCCAAAGCGCTGATCCAGCCTTGCTGCAGGGGGATGGGAGTTCAATTAATTATTCCAGGCTTGTGTTTATTAGGGAGTCCTGATTAATGGGCATGACTTCATTTCCCAGTTGGAAATCAGGTGACAGTGCCGGTAAGGGAAATAAAAACCTCTCATCGCCCTCAGTGAGCAACTCTGGGAACAGCCAACAGCCTTGAGTGTGAGGTCTCGGGGGGCAGCGGGGCACCCCCCGGCGGGGCTGGGGCTCAGGGCTGCCCGGGGGAGCCCCCTGGCCGTTACCTGCCCCCCTCCCCGGATACGGGTTCGGCTCTTTGGGCTGGGGACCCGTTCTTTACCCTCTACCTCAGCTTGAGACAAGAGGGGAACATTGCTTCCCCTCACCCCCACCTGATGTCACTGTGATGTTGCTGGAGTAAGGTGATGTCACTGTGATGTTGCTGGAGTAAGGTGACATCACTGTGATGGTATGACATCACCAGGAAGCAGCGACAGAGAGCCGCAGCACCGAGCCAAGCAGCCGGACAGGGGCCAAACCCACCATCCCGTGCCTGGCCAGCTGCCCATACTGCAGATGGCATCGGCATCAGCAATCCCCGGTGGTACCTGGCTGGGTTTTGGGGATGCCAGGAGGAGCCAGCTGGAGAGGCACCCACAAAGTCCACCGTGACCCTGTCTTCCCAAGGAGGCTTTTCCATGGGTGACTTGGGCTTGAGCTTCCCTTCTCCTGGCTCTCCGGGTCCCACGTGCCCACCCAGGTCGCTGTGCGGGGGGCCGGGCTGCAGGCAGAGCCTGGCAAAGCCATACAGCCCTTGCTCAGGTTTTGATTTGCAAAGCTGCACAAGAGCAGTTGATTTTATAAATAGTTAAAACCCTTCCCCTCTGGAGCACGTACCCCATATGTGTTCTGTACCATACGTGTGATTTCATAGCTAGTAATTAAGTCCATATGTTGTGCTCCACAGTTTCCATGGTATTATTGTCAGGGGTTTTTTTGTGTTGTAATTTTTTTTTTTTTTGTGGTCAGTTGTGCAAGAAAATAGTTGATACAGGGATCTGAATACATCTCCTTTGAGTTAGCCGCTGGCAAGCTCTGCTGTTTCTATAGAAATGAAGGAATTGACCCAGTGAATTTACATTTTAGACAGCTGGGTGGGTTTTTTTTTTTCCATGTCTGTGCCATTTAACGTGCCATCGTGAATAACACTGCAAAGCTCTCATTTGTGCACCCTGCTCAGCTGAAATTGCATCCATCTGTCATGGATATAGACCATATTCTCCCTCCATCCCTTTCCTTTGCTTGAGACTCTCCCCTTCTTTACGCCATGTGTTGAACACTCTCCCTAGAGCTGGCTGAAGTCAGCCCAGGGTCTGGACATCCATCTCTGCTGGGGAGCACCTGGGCTGTCCTGGGTCCTCGCTGGGTCTGTTCCTCTTCATATCAGCGGTGAAATCATGGGTCTAGGGTGAGCCCAGCTCCATACCTTGGTGGGGAAGATGTTCCCTTTGCTGCTGGGCACTCCTGGCTGAAATCCCTGCTGCAGGGGAGCAGGGCTGTCCATGGAGGGTGGACAGCACTGGTGGGAAAGCTGGACAGACATCCAGCTTGGAAGAGTCAAGAGCCTTGAGATGAAAAGGAGACGTTTCAGGTCTCCCTCAGCTGTTGGACACTTTGGGGTGGCTGCTGGCTGTTTTTCATGAGACTTCTGGAAACACCCCAGCTTTGGAAAACTGAAATACCTTCATTTTTGGCAGGATGGGAAAGTTGTTTCCTACCCAGAATGAATCCGGCTCCAGTTTCAAACAGCAAGAGCCGAGAGAGGTGGTGATGGCCATTTCCATCCCTGTCTGGCCATTGTTATTCCCTCTGGTTCTCGCGCCTTAGCTGGAGAGCAGAGCCGGGATGGGAGTACTGGCCACCCCGAGGGACGGGCCAGGCAATCTTTTACCTTGAGGTCACTGCTTCCACCCCAGACCCGGGCTAGGAGAGACTGAAAGTATTTACCATCTGGGGCCTGTCCAAGTGACTTGTGAGAAAAGAATTCAGGGCTGCCATCCAGTTTCTGATGGTCAGGCAACTACATCAGAAAATCTCGGCTTCATCTGGGACCAACTGACCCCTCCAAGTTCCCAGCTGCTGCGGCGAGGCCAGCGAGGGAGCGAGCAACAGCCAGGCATTGCCCTCTCCCAAGGAGAAAGGGTCTTTTGGATGGGGAGGTGGTGGGGACACTTGATCCTTCACCATTTTCCAGGAGGTTTTAAGTAGGTTTCATTAGAAAGAAGCACTGATAAATGGGACTCGGTGCTGGTTCTGGTCTCAAAGTCTGACATTGCCAAGAGGAAGGAGCTGAGCAATTATATGGGGAGCAAACGGACTATCACAACCTTGTTTAGCCAAAAGTATAGTGAGATCTCATCATTCAGATTGAGGGGCTTCTCATTAGTACAGCCCAGCCTTGTATCAGCTGTTGTGAAAGGACAATGCTTTTTCTTAATAGACATATCAAACCCTGGGCAGTAATTCTGTGTGATTTTTTTTTTTTTTTTGCTGCAGTCCAGACGAAAGCAATTCATAATTGTCCCCCTAAGTTAAACATTCAGATAACCCCAAGAACAAGACTTTTGTAAAACAAAGCCTGGAAACTTCAGCCAGATGAGTCTTTCCGTTATTATTTGGAAAACAGTGTCAGAAATCATCACGTATCAAACATTGTGATCCTCTGAGACTTTATTTTTGGGATCAAACATCATCAAACATAAACTTCTTTCTTTTAAAAAAACTCACTAGAAGTTTTGTCTTTCAGACAAGATATAAACCCCGGATCCTAACCTTGTGTGGTTACTGACAGGCCTTTGGTATTTTCCATGGAGCTGCATGGCTAACTCATGTTTCCTGATCAAATTGC